CACAGAGACCCATAGACTCATCACACAGAGACCCATAGACTCACAACAGAGACCCATAGACTCACCACACAGAGACCCATAGACTAATCACACAGAGACCCATAGACTCATCACACAGATACCTACAGACTCACACAGAGACCCATAGACTCATCACACAGAGACCCATAGACTCACAACAGAGACCCATAGACTCATCACACAGAACCCCATAGACTCATCACACAGAGACCCATAGACTCATCACACAGAGACCCATAGACTCATCACACAGAGACCCATAGACTCACCACACAGATACCGATAGACTAATCACACAGAGACCGATAGACTCACCACACAGAGACCCATAGACTCATCACACAGATACCTACAGACTCACACAGAGACCCACAGACTCACAACAGAGACCCATAGACTCATCACACAGAGACCCATAGACTCACCACACAGATACCCATAGACTCATAGACTCACCACACAGATACCGATAGACTCATCACACAGAGACCGATAGACTCACCACACAGAGACCCATAGACTCATCACACAGATACCTATAGACTCACACAGAGACCCACAGACTCACAACAGAGACCCATACACTCATCACACAGAGACCCATAGACTCACCACACAGAGACCCATAGACTCACCACACAGATACCCATAGACTCACCTCACAGAGACCCATAGACTCATCACACAGAGACCCATAGACTCACCACACAGAGACCCATAGACTCACCTCGCAGAGACCCATAGACTCATCACACAGAGACCCACAGACTCACCAAACAGAGACCCATAGACTCACCACACAGAGACCCACAAACTCGCTACACAGAGACCCACAGACTCACCACACAGAGACCTATAGACTCACCTCACAGAGACCCATAGACTCATCACACAGAGACCCATAGACTCACCACACAGAGACCCATAGACTCACCACACAGAGACCCATAGACTCACCACACAGAGACCCATAGACTCACCTCACAGAGACCCAGACTCATCACACAGAGACCCACAGACTCACCACACAGAGACCCATAGACTCACCACACAGAGACCCATAGACTCATCACACAGAGACCCATAGACTCATCATAGAGAGACCCATATACTCATCACACAGAGACCCATAGACTCACCACACAGAGACCCACAGACTCACCACACAGAGACCCATAGACTCACCACACAGAGACCCATAGACTCACCTCACAGAGACCCATAGACTCATCACACAGAGACCCACAGACTCACCACACAGAGACCCATAGACTCACCACACAGAGACCCATAGACTCATCACACAGAGACCCATAGACTCATCATAGAGAGACCCATATACTCATCACACAGAGACCCATAGACTCATCACACAGAGACTCACAAACTCACCACACAGAGACCCAAAGACTCACCACACAGAGACCCATAGACTCACCACATAGAGACCCATAGACTCATCACACAGAGACCCACAAACTCGCTACACAGAGACCCACAGACTCACCACACAGAGACCCATAGACTCACCACACAGAGACCCATAGACTCATCACACAGAGATATCGATGTTTTTGTTATTTACCCTTCATAGCCCAATGCCTGTGGGCTCTGATGGTGTGGAGGAGGGGATCTCACGCTGGTACCCAGAGTTGACTCGCGATAAGGGAGAGTGCCGCCGAGAAAGAGGTGACCGGTGGGGGTGGTGGCGGAGAGATTCGAATGAAGAGAGAGAGAGATTGCAGCACCATTTGAACAACCAAACTAAACTATGGTTGTGTTTTTTTTATTGATTTGAAGCTTTCGTGACTGCAGCAATCCATTCTCTTTGATTCTTTCGGTAAAGTGGCATGGGTAGAAATAAATGAAAATAAATCACGACGTTTCGAACGCAACGCACGCGCCCTTCTTCAGGTGAATATCGCAGCAGACATCGCAGCAGACATTGCTGCTGTCGCGATGTTCACCTGAAGAAGGGCCCTTGTGTTGCGTTCGAAACGTCGTGATTTATTTTCATTTATTTCTACCCACGTGACTTTACCGAAAGAACCAAAGAGTATTTATTTTGTTTTACCAAACAAGGCCCGCTGAGGTGATCTGTAGCTCTTTTTCAGAAGCAGCCTGGGCCATCGATGATAGCTCAACGAAAGTGGCTCATCGCGTGGAAATGTTTAGCGGCAGCCAAATAGTCTAAACGCGCGACGTTGATTCTAAATGTGGAGGGAAATCCGGACGACCCCGAGAAACATCCACGCGACCACGGGGAGAGAGAGGGGGAGAGAGAGACAGAGAGAGAGACACGCAAACTCCAAATATACAGCAGCAGCAGGCGTTGTCAGGGTCGGGATTGAACCCACGACCTCCTGCATACCAGGCGAGGTAGTTAACATCTCATAGCCACCGTGATGATGAGAGAGAGACACGCAAACTCCAAATATACAGCAGCAGCAGGTGTCAGGGTCGGGATCGAACCCACGACCTCCTCCATACCAGGCGAGGTAGTTAACATCTCATAGCCACCGTGATGATGAGAGAGACACGCAAACTCCAAATATACAGCAGCAGGCGTTGTCAGGGTCGGGATTGAACCCACGACCTCCTGTATACCAGGCGAGGTAGTTAACATCTCCTAGTCACCGTGATGATGATGAGAGAGACAGACACGCAAACTCCAAATATACAGCAGCAGCAGGCGTTGTCAGGGTCGGGATTGAACCCACGACCTCCTGTATACCAGGCGAGGTAGTTAACATCTCCTAGCCACCGTGATGATGATGAGAGAGAGACACGCAAACTCTAAATATACAGCAGCAGGCGTAGTCAGGGTCGGGATTGAACCCATGACCTCCTGTATACCTGGAGAGGTAGTTAACATCGCGCCGTACGTCGCTAAACGGAGGTGAGGGGAACCCGAGTCAAACCCTTACCCCTGACGCTAACCCTCGCCTCTTCAGGTGACCAATACTCCGTGCGGTCTGCATATTTTATACTGATGGAGCTATATACAGTGAGGGGAAAAAGTATTTGATCCCCTGCTGATTTTGTACGTTTGCCCACTGGCAAAGAAATGATCAGTTTATAATTTAATGGTAGGTTTGTTTGAACAGTGTGAGACAGAGTAACAACAAGAAAATCCAGAAAAACGCATGTCAAAAATGTTATCAATTGATTTGCATTTTAATGAGGGAAATAAGCATTTGACCCCCTCTCAATCAGAAAGATTTATGGCTCCCCGGTGTCTTTTATACAGGTAACGAGCTGAGATTAGGAGCACACTCTTAAAGGGAGTGCTCCTAATCTCAGCTTGTTACCTATATAAAAGGCACCTGTCCACAAGCAATCAATCAATCAGATTCCAAACTCTCCACCATGGCCAAGACCAAAGAGCTCTCCAAGGATGTCAGGGACAAGATTGTAGACCTACACAAGGCTGGAATGGGCTACAAGACCATTGCCAAGCAGCTTGGTGAGAAGGTGACAACAGTTGGTGCGATTATTCGCAAAAGTAAGAAACACAAAAGAACTGTCAATCTCCCTCGGCCTGGGGCTCCATGCAAGATCTCACCTCGTGGAGTTGCAATGATTATGAGAACGGTGAGGAATCAGCCCAGAACTACACGGGAGGATCTTGTCAATGATCTCAAGGCAGCTGGGACCATAGTCACCAAGAAAACAATTGGTAACACTACACCGTGAAGGACTGAAATCTTGCAGCGCCCGCAAGGTCCTCCTGCTTAAGAAAGCACATATACATGCCCGTCTGAAGTTTGCCAATGAACATCTGAATGATTCAGAGGACAACTGGGTGAAAGTGTTGTGGTCAGATGAGACCAAAATGGAGCTCTTTGGCATCAACTCAACTCGCCGTGTTTGGAGGAGGAGGAATGCTGCCTATGACCCCAAGAACACCATCCCCACCGTCAAACATGGAGGTGGAAACATTATGCTTTGGGGGTATTTTCTGCTAAGGGGACAGGACAACTTCACCACATCAAAGGGACGATGGACGGGGCCATGTACCGTCAAATCTTGGGTGAGAACCTCCTTCCCTCAGCCAGGGCATTGAAAATGGGTCGTGGACGGGTATTCCAGCATGACAATGACCCAAAACACACGGCCAAGGCAACAAAGGAGTGGCTCAAGAAGAAGCACATTAAGGTCCTGGAGTGGCCTATCCAGTCTCCAGACCTTAATCCCATAGAAAATCTGTGGAGGGAGCTGAAGGTTCGAGTTGCCAAACGTCAGCCTCGAAACCTTAATGACTTGGAGAAGATCTGCAAAGAGGAGTGGGACAAAATCCCTCCTGAGATGTGTGCAAACCTGGTGGCCAACTACAAGAAACGTCTGACCTCTATGATTGCCAAGAAGGGTTTTGCCACCAAGTACTAAGTCATGTTTTGCAGAGGGGTCAAATACTTATTTCCCTCATTAAAATGCAAAAAAAATTATAACATTTTTGACATGCGTTTTTCTGGATTTTTGTTGTTGTTATTCTGTCTCTCACTGTTCAAATAAACCTACCATTAAAATTATAGACTGATCATTTCTTTGTCAGTGGGCAAACGTACAAAATCAGCAGGGGATCAAATACTTTTTTACCTCACTGTACCTGTGTGTGTATAATGTGATGTGCCCGTGCATAAAACCACAGAATATGATTTGTGAAACCAGAACCCATAACAAAAAACCGCGTAACCGCACCTCCGATATGCACGGTTGGCTACGTACGGTGCGAAAGTGAAGTTCAACATGCATTCAACATGCATACAACATACACGCGTACCAAAAGCTCATCGCATTTGCTAATAACACTTCTTCCTTAAAGGGGGGGGGGGGGTAAAGCATAAGTCGACGTTTCGGGCAATAGCCCTTGTTCATGGCACACAGCTGACGTGATCCCACAGGTAACGCCGCGACATCACCAACTACACCCCCTCCCCCATCGCGCCAGTCCCCTCCATCACCATCACCATCCATACCTCTGAGTATCGTATTCCCATCACGGTGGTGGCGATGGTTGTCGGTGGTGGTGGTGATGTTGGTGGTGTTGGTGATGGTTGTCGGTGGTGTCGGTGGTGGTGGTGTTGATGATGGTTGTTGGTGATGTTGGTGGTGGTGTTGGTGGTGATGATGGTTGTTGGTGATGTTGGTGGTGGTGTTGGTGGTGATGATGGTTGTTGGTGATGGTTGTTGATGATGGTTGCTGGTGATGATGATGGTTGTTGATGATGGTTGCTGGTGATGTTGGTGGTGTTGGTGATGGTTGCTGGTGATGATGATGGTTGTTGATGATGATGGTTGTTGATGATGGTTGCTGGTTGCTGGTGATGTTAACAGCAGCGACGGCGCCCACAGAATGACTGACGACTCGCTCCCGCATCCACCCATCCCCCCCGGCCCCTCCCCCCATCCCCCCGGCCCCTCCCCCCGGCCCCTCCCCCCACCCCCCCGGCCCCTCCCCCCCATCCCCCCGGCCCCTCCCCCCATCCCCCCGGCCCCTCCCCCAACTCCCCCCGGCCCCTCCCCCCATCCCGCCCCGGCCCCTCCCCCCATCCCCCCCGGCCCCTCCCCCCACTCCCCCCGGCCCCTCCCCACCACTACTCCCCCCAGCCCCATTCCCCCCAGCCCCTCCCCCTATCACCGCGGCCCCGCCCCATCCGCCGCCCCAGCCCACCCATCATCGCGGCCCCGCCTACAGCAGCCACACGAACCAACCAGCAGCCGCCGGGCCACGCAAGCGCCACACCTGTGTGACGTCACGCAGGTGAGTTATCTGTTTTTCTTTGACATCTGGTCGAGGCAAGTCGCCCGCCCTCCACTTCCCTTCCGCTTGCGAAACGTGGGAGCCCTCTGGCGCAGCGGCCCTGAACCTGGGGCAGGGGGAGATGCCCTTTGTGGGTGGAGCGAGACACGGACACACTTTTTTTTTCGAAGGCAAATAATCGAAAACACAAATTAGGGGCCGTCCATAAATGACGTCACGCGATTTTGGACGATTTTTGACCCCCCCCCTCGTCACACGGCGTCACAAAAAGTCAGACCCCCCCCCCTCAAATATGACGTCAGAAAGCTCTGCCCCCCCCAAAAAAAAACTATTTCCATTTTGAAAATAAAACATGCTTCAAATCGCTTTAAACTATTGTCATTGTAGTGCGTATTTAATGTGGCGCTGCACTCTGATGCTGTATGAGAAAACATTTATTAAAACGTCTATTTAATTAAGTAGAACGTGTTGTCTATATTTAATTAAAGTTGCGCATTTTGATATGGCGTCACATATGTCAGCCCTCCCCCCCCTCGTCACACATCGTCACAAATATCTGACCCCCCCCCTCCCTAGATACGTGACGTCATTTATGGACGACCCCTTAAGCACGGCCACGTCAGTTACAACTTACATTGTTCCATCAAACCCCTGTGTACGATAATGGAACATCTGGGTCCGTTTGAAACGTTCAGGCTGTGCCTGGCCTACGATCGATCCTGGGTGCAAACCACGGCTGGATTGTGAGGAGCTCACAGATCCTTGAAAGATCTGGACGCAATATTACGAATCTTTGTCTCTTTGAGTTAGTATGAGTGTGTGAGAGTGTGTGTGAACGTGTGTGCATGTGTTGGCGGTGGTGTAGCGGTTAGCGCTACACTGCGCGATGAACCCGGCGACCCGGGTTCGATTCCCGCTCACGGCCAACACCAGTGACGATTATCTGAACCGGTCCCGGGCCTCCCCTAGGTCGACTCAGCCTCAAATGAGTACCTGGTGCAGTCCGTAAACATCGCCACTGGGGAGACAAAGGTGGCCGGGCGTGGCGCTGGCCACCCACCCCCTCGTGCACCATTCCGGCCTTTATAGTTTGCTAACAGCACTTGCCCCTACAGTCTGTTCAGGCTATACGGGGGATCTTTGTCTTTGCATGTGTTGGTAACACACGTGGTGCATCTGCCATCCCAGTCAACCCATGGCACCTGGGTCTGTCCTGCCAGCGAGCCATCTACACTTCATGCGACGGGCTCAAAGTGTACCTAGCCTGGCACAATCACCGTGGTGACGAGAGGCTGTCACTCCTTTGTCGGGAGCTGGAGCGGAGCGGTATTACCAGGATCATTCTGGCATACGGAACTGGTTCTGGCACCAGTTATCACGAGGGGGTGGACAGTCCTCCACTCGTGGCAGGAAACCGTCAGACAGGGAGTGGCTCTCCTTCTGAACTAAATGACAGGGGGGCGTGGGGGCTTGGTGGCGAGATACAGGAAGCCGCGAGTCCCAGGCTACCGTGGGCTCGCCTCCCCATCAACAGGAGGCGAAGGACGGTGGTGGGGGTGGTGACTCACACAATAACCAAAGATGAACATCAGTGGAGGGACGCAGGCGAGGCTGAGTCAGATGGCCTTCGAATGACCTCCCGTCACAGGTGCTTGCTACAGCGGCACTTCGGGATAAAATCGCCCCGTTAGGTGACTTTTCATGCCCGAGTGGATCATGTCATGGAGTACGTGGGGCCCGGAGTGATTGAATCAGCTCAATGACGGTAGTAGGAGGGCTGCGAGACTTCTGCTGCGTGGCCCATGGGCTTGTCATCACCAGCACGCTGTTCCGGTATCGAAAGTGCATCGTCACCGGGTCACAAGAGAGATAAATCAGTGGCACGGAGACCTTTACAACGTATAACGACGCATTGCCCCAACCACAAACACGCAGGAGACATCGCGGCGGGTGAAGCTAGTGCTGGGCCTGTAGCATATGTTGTAATAATGGGGCCCTAAATAAAAAAAAACTAATATTAAACACACACATTTTAACTTGCATAGTAAATTGTATTTT